TTAGTAGGGTTGATATTTTCAAATTAAGGTCCCCAAATTTCAGCATCATCCGATTTCAGCATCATCCCCGACAATGATTAATTAAAAAAAATAATTTATTAGTCTACCCTCGTTACAACGGACTCCGTTATAACGAATACCTCGCTATAACGAAATAGTTTCTAAATTTATTTACGTAAAATTTTATTATTATACTATATAACGCCATAACGGATATTCATAATAACGTACGGAATTTCTCAGCACGATCACTACGTTATAACGGGGTAGACTATTTAGAATTGTTGTAACTCTCCTACAAAAATCCTCCCTCGTGATTTTTATCCAATTAGATCGAAAAAACAAGTGTAACGAAAAATCATGGGAGATCTACAGGCGTTCTATTTAGACGTTAAGGTGGATGGTGTTACATAATACAACTGTATAACTCTCAAAAAGGAAACGACTTTATTCATGTTATGTAATACAAACAACGATGAAAGCCAATCAGACGAGATACAACAATCTTAATAGTATCACGTGGCAGAAGCGTCTCTAATTGGCAGATAGGATTATAGATAAGAATATAAGCAAAATACCAAAAGCTTTGAAGTTTTTTCAAATATTTTACTATGCTAACCTTACCTGGGTTTTTAGTAAGATGTTATTACAATTCCAACGATGGTAAAATCATCAAAATCGACCTAATGGATCACGAGATATGAGTAAAAAAAAGGTTAAAGTTGGAAAATTTTAAACTTTAAAAATCTCAGAACTTTTTTACTCATTTATTATGATTCATTAGACCGATTTTGATGATTTTACCACTATTAGAATTGTAATAACCTCCTCTACACCTTTTATTAAAGGCCCAGGTAAGATTAGCATAGTAAAAGCTTTATGCTTTTGGTATAATTTTTCTTATAATCTTATCCGTAATTCTATTGGCAAATTCGAACGCGGAGATCACGTGACCTTTTACAATTGTCGTGTCTCCATTTTGGGGTATACACAGCAATCATGTTACACTGATCGACATAACCTGGCATCTAGAACCTTGATTGGAAATCAGTTAAAGTGGTGTGAATTTCTGAGTCAAAATTCCACAATTTGATTGGTCGATCGTCTGACGATCATCAAAACTTCACACCGCTTTAACGGTAATAGATCCAATGGTTATGCGAATGGAGCTCAAAAAATTAGTATCCATTCCATTGCCAACCCTGGACAGCCCTGGCACAGAATGTAGGAGTGCAATACTTATTATAAGTAGTAAGTACTACGATATTGACCTTTGTTTCGCCCTGAGCAGCAAACCTAGTTCTAAGCAAATCGAACGGATACGTAGTAACAGTAGCGGTCATTCCACAAACAGCGCCACTCAAGAATGGTTGCAATGTTTTATTGAAAATTAGTTTATTATCTCGGCCATCTCCGATAGAGTTAAATAGGATCTGCATTTGTCTGTATGTTAAGAACTGGACAGCACCATATGAAAGATACAAATATTCTGCAGAAAGATTTCCTTTCCATAATCCCTGTAAACAAACAATGGGTTAGTGAATCAAAAGATGAGTTTATGAATGAATTAAACGATGCGTAAAATTTAATAAAATTATTATTACCCTTATACCTTCTTCTCTTATAATCAAGCCAATAGCATGTAACATACCATTATACTTTCTTTCTAAAATTTTTTGTTTCGTTGGGTTGGTTCAGCTAAATCACAATTTGTATCTTGATTGGCGGTTAGTCACATGAGCACACCTGGCATTAGACGATCCTAAATTTGGTAAAATCACTGACTATAATTTCAATAAATAAGCTTCATTTTCCAGCAAAGTCAAGCAAAAAGAAAGCCAACCATCAATGGGTGATCAAGCTGTGGTTTCAAAACAACTTTCTCCTATAGAAACAAGTATTTGTGGGGCGGTTGCGGGTGCAGCTTCCAGGTATTTCAAACTTTTAGATTTTATTGCAAATCTAATTACTAATATATTTTTCACAAATTATCAGGCTCGTCGCCTCCCCGCTTGACGTAGTCAAAATACGTCTTCAGGTAAATTTTCTATTATTTTAGACGGACAATAATGCTGACGT